TCCAACAATGAAGGATCAAATCATCAAGAACCTTTAACCCTTTGTCTTCTTCCTCTTATGTTCAATATCCACAATCATTCACCTCTCAATCTTTCCTCTCCAAACGAACTCGGACCCACTTCCTAGCCTTGAAGCCTCTCATCCCTCGTGTCTAATTCTTTTGACAAAGCTTAACCTAGGTTGGAGGGGGAATTGGTTAATTGATGGTATTACACAATGAGAGTGACTTTGTCACTATGATCTTTTGTTCTTGAACAAACCAGTGGCAAGATCCTAGTAATTCGAAGCAAATAATGCGAAAGAAATAGAGAATTTATCTAGCATGCTTGATTGATGTGTTGGGTTGGAGTGAATGGATGGGAGTGAGGGAAAGTTGTCTCTTTTTTCCTCTATTTCAAATACCCAAAACATTTCTCTTCGTTCGAGCCCAAAAACACTCTCCTAAAATCCAAAATTTTCCTATCTTATACCCAAAACTTTTTTTTATGAATTCAAAAAAAAAAAAATCCTCTTCAACCTAGAATTTGCTCTATAAGACCGAAGAAAATAAATCCCAAAGTCCATTTTTCAAAACTCGGCAAAACCCTAGAATTTCCTTCCCAAAAAACCCGACAAATCCTTTATGCCTCCAAAACCTAACAAGAACCCTAATTTTTTCTCCCCCTCTAATTCTCTCAAATGTGCCCCATTTATACCCAAAATTCAACTCTTGTCCACACTAGGATCACCCCTCAATCGATCGAACCATTCCCATTAGACATCAAAACCACCAAGCTCTTGCATTTCTTCTATTTTGTACAAAGTCAAAATGAAAATTGTGTAAGTGTGTGTGTGCAAGTTTGATGCAAATGTGATGCAAATAGTGTGTTATGAAGAGCGTAGTGGTTGAAGTGTGATTTATGGCTAGTACTTCTAGCCGGTACAATTGCAAGCTAGGAATGCGAGTATCGAACATTGAGGAGTTTGTTCTCAAGGAAGACGTTGAATCAAGACTGGGGAATTGATTTTGCGTTGCGACGAAGACGGAGTTGTTTGATTAAAATTGGTCTTATAGTTCTCTCCCTAATTTCAATTTAGTCCTTCGCATTTTAGATCTTTCCCAATTAGGTCCTTTAGGCATGTGATTTTGGTCCATGGTTCTTTCGATTTTTTCAATTGGGTCCTTATATCTTTTAATTTCAGTTCTAGAATTTTCAATTATTTCAATTGTATCCTTAATTGTTTTAATTTCATTCTTGATTTTATTCAATCATGTCCCTAATTAATCATGCAAATTTGTGTGTGTGTGTGTGTGTGTGTATTATTTTTCAGTAATAATAATAAATACTGAAATTAAATCAAAAAGATAAAATGAAAATAAAAATAAAATAAAAATAAAAAATAAGATCAAATAAAATATAATTAAAAAATAAAATTGGATGAGAAAAATATAACCCACAATATTTTGATTTACTCATCAATCAATTATAAACAATGGAATCGGAAGGAAAAGAAGCCATTAAAATTGTTTTGGTCCAAAGGCGTAAAAGTTTCTCATTTCTTACAAATTATTAAAAAGCTTGTCTGATCAATTAAAAACCTCAAAGTTAAGAAACTTGGCCAAAACTTCAGTTGTTGCCTTGACGTTGTCTTTAAGAGGCCAATATCTCTTGTGACAAACAAGGTTAACATGTGCAAACTAATCCCATTATTTAAAATATAAGAAGACGATCGATCAATTTCTCTACACCGCGTTTTTGGGTGAACAGATCAAATTGCGAGAAAGGCCAACCCAACTATAAGGCCAAAAAACTAAAATTTGACAATTGACTCAAATTCCCCAGCAATGCCACTGTAACTCACTACTTAGTGGGATGGAAGGATCAAATACTCTCTAATTATTTACTCATTCTCTCATGTGAGATTAAAGTTGGAGGTTTGAACTTGGTTAATTGTTTTATTTTTAACACACACACAAAAATCTTAAAAATTAGTCTATTAAAAATTAAATCCATAAGTTTTTATAAGAGACGAATACCGTTGCGCTACAAGCTATTTGATTAAATTTGATTAATTAACTAACAATATGGTTGTTATAACTAAACAAATGATAAATTAGCTAGTGACATTAACAGCCTAGCACTTTGACTCTAATCCATGTTTAACATTACGACTAAAAGAGAAATCACAGGGTCAGTCTGCTGAATTTGATTGATTTCGAATTAATTATTCAATTGGCGCCGTGCGTTGAGTGAAGAAATTGAATCATCGCTGACGTCTTTGAAGAATGTTGAATTCAACATGAAAAAATTTGACTCCGTTAGTTTGGAAAATATGAATTGGTGGAATAATTAATTAGAACAATTCATTAGTAATGATTTTCATCTTATGAAATATATAGATTAGTTTATCCTAAACTACAAGTTGCACTTAATTATTAAACCAATATATATCGAAAGCAACTGTGTAGTATTTATTTATAGCTGAGTCTATAATTTTCTCTCTCGTTTGTATGGACTTGATTATTACTTAAATAAGTCCATGATTTTCTCCGTATAAATTCTTATGGGCCAAACTCTACCTTGCCTACTTGGGTTCATAGTATTGTTGGTCAGGTTTATTGTATCTCGACTGGGCTTCAAAGTATGTTTCAGTTTCTAAGCCATCATAAGCGGTCGGATAGGATTCCAATGTCTTTTATACAGCTCAATTCCTCTGCAAACTCAAAATAATCCAAACAGTTACAGGCAAGGCAAGTTTTTACACTAATCCATGATTTACAACTCAGGGTTGGTGAGTTGTAAAGTACAGTCAATTAAACATTTACATATAATATAAAAATATCTCTAGAAATAAAATAGTTAACAAAATTTTAATTAAAACGCTATTTCATTTTTATTGTGATAAAAATCCCTTTTTTTAAAAAAAAGAAATTATGTTTTCATATTGTTTTAAGGTTGAATTGAAATGGCAGAACTCCTATAGAAAAACTCGCAAAACAAGTGTCTGCTCCTAATTCGTTAATAGTCTTCCAAAACAATATGGTTGTCCACGCAAACAAACAACAATTTGTCTTTCTCGACTTTATAAAACAAACTTAAAGATATTTATTATTTACTATAATTTTCATATATTCATAAAATATTATTTATTTACTATTCTTTTAGACTCGAGTGTATTAAATAATGATATTTTTATGCTTTTCAAGTTATATTGAGACATTTATATTTGGATATTTTTTATATATATTACACTTTGATTTTTAAAGTTTTAATTTTAATTTTTAAGTTTATTTATATTACGATTTAGTCCCTAAATGCAGAAAGAATAGAGAGAAAGCCTCGATCGGCTCAAATTTCGGCCTCTTTTGTGGCCTATATTGTTTATCTTGGTAAGAAAAGTGTGTTCATGGTGAGTTTAAGCAATAAAATAATAAAAAGAGATAGATCCGAACGTAAAAAAATTAATTTTTTTTATTCGATTAGATATATGCGTGTGTGCGCACATTAAAATACTTTTTATTATTTTATTTTATTTTATCAAAAAAAATATTATTGAATTAGGTGCAAAAATTATAGAAAATCAATTATTATTATTTTTTTAGTTTTCTACACAGATTGACAATGATAAAATATATATGATATATTTTTAAAATTTAAAATGAACGTATATCGAATTATATTACTCTTGTTTAAAATTGATTTTTTTTATTTTTTGGTTCTTATGAAAATTCTCATAAAATTAATTTTATATAATTTTATTTATTAATAAATATGATTTATTTTTCTCTACGCATAGATTTTTTAATAAAATTTTAGAATATAATTAATTTATCTTTTTTTAATGAATATATATATATATATATAAGATTAAATTACTTTTATTGTTTAAAATTAATTTTTTGTTATTTGTCATTTTCTTATGGAAATTCTCATGAAATTAACACACACACACACACATATATATCATTTATTTTTCTCAATGTATATATTTTTGAATAAAATTTTAAAATATCCTTATTTAATGTCTTTTTTTATTATAATAAAATTCATATGATGGATTTTTATGATTTTTAAATGAGAGTGTTAAAAAGTTAAAAATATATTTTAGATAATTTGTCTCAAACCTTAAAAAAAATATATAGAATTTGCATATTCTATTTATTTATTTTTATATAATTAGAATTTATCAAAATTAATTTTGTTGTTTTTTATTTCAGTCTATTAACTTTAATATATTCCTTGCAATATATTTTTAAAAAATATATTTTATTTATGTTGTACACTCTAAATCCATTGAATATGATCAATAATGTATATAAAATTTGAGATAATTAGTTTAATTTGAAATTAATTATGCATCTACAACATAACACCAAATATTTGTTATTAATTTTTTTAATATTTTAAAATCAATTTCTTTGAAATAAAATAATTGAAATAATATTTAAAGAGAATCATCCAATGATTAAAATACAACTTTTTATATTAATATTATTGATTATTTTGTGAATAAATATATATAAGTTAAATGTATGTTTTTTTTTTAAATAATCTTCTCATCATAATTAAATAAGAATGAAAAAAATATTCATATGTTAATTTTTATACAAGTTTTTATATTATTATTATTATTTTTTTACTCTTTTGATGCAATCTTATGTGAAAATATTAAGGAATTTTTTTAAATTTTAGATTAGATATTCTATTTAAATTATTACAAGTTCTTATTTAAAAATCAATGTATAAAAAATAACAAATTATATTTTTTAACTACAAATTTATGAAAAACATAAGAAAAAATAAATTATAAAATTAAATGATTTTTTTTAACCTTTAATTGAATATATTTTAGCAAGTTTTCAATATAGGATAAGCTATCAAATTTAAATAATTTTTTTCGATTCGCTGTATAGCACGGATATTAGCCAACTGGTTAGATTCTATATCAAAATGGATAAAACCATTTATGTCAATCACAGATTTCAAACTCACGAGGAGATAACTGGACACCAAGAATATCTAAAACCTTTGGCTTGAAATCTCTAAAGGCGAGTCAGTCTTTGAGTACTCCATACCTGCAGTATTGCTCTTTGCATTGTTGTTCGCATCCTTTCCACTCGTGCACCAAGAAAACACTCTTGGAATTCTAACAAGAACTCTCTGATGGTTCCTTTTGACGGAGATGGAGGGCACTAGGGGTAAAGATAAAAGAGGAGAAAGCACTGAGACTGCTGTATACAGGGCTGTGAAAGAAGAGCTTGGATCCATCCTGTCTTGACGAGAGAAAAAAGTGAGAGATAAGACTGGCTCAACTTCGTATCCGGGATTGCCTAGTAGGTACACTGTGCATGATGTTGATGCTTGTGTTGATGGATTGTCTAGTGATTTTTTTTCACCGAGGAGGATTCATAAGGATTGCGATGCTGGTAGGTGTCCTTCTGGGGCCGTGGCTGTAAAAAAGACCTTTTGGACTTAGGGATTGCCTCCTCCTATCGATTCCTTTGACATTAGAGGTCTTTGGCTATTTTAAATATTAGTATTAATTTGCATTCAATACATATATTAAATATTTTTAGTGTTTTCTACATGTTTTAATGTTTGCGATCAATTAAGAAGTTTCGTCATTTGTCTAGTTTTGCTATTTGTCTATATTTTGCTATTTGGAATTTAATTAAGAATCTTTTTTTTTTTTTTTTAATTCTATGTGAGTTTTATCTAATGCGGATTTTGATATTTCCAATCCCTTGCCACTAATTCTGCGGCAAAATCGAACATCAAGCTCAATTCTATTTCCTCCATTTTAGTTCATTCATCAATATCAATGGTTTTTATAATATTCCTCGCATCAAATATTTATTGTGTTGAAAGAAGTATTGATTTCGGGTTTTAATTTCCACATTTTTGTTTTGATTGTTTTAGAATTGTTTAATTAAAACTTTGTAATTTTTTTTCATATTAATTGAATTTTTTTATTCTTTACTATATTTTATTACAATCTATTTGTTACAAGACTGCTAATTTATGAGTTGAAAGACATGTTCACTCGTAAATAAAATATATTTTGTTTTAATTTTTACATTATTTTGTTTTTCAACCTCATATTGAATGTCACAAAACTCATTATATGTATAACCTTATCACAATAAAACTCGTGAAAAATATTTTTTGAAAAAAAAATTATAATAATTGAAAAATAAAAAAAATATAAAACCAATCTAATCTGTAATTACAAAATTAGGATACAAATATTTTTGTCAAATACTAATGCAATGACGACTAGTATGTGTATATATGAAAGTAATGTGTCATATTTATCAATCATGTATTCAGGATTGAACATGTCACATCAGCTCATAAACTAACGACGATATAACAAAAAAATTATAATAAAAAAATATAAAATAGATGGATTCGATCCATACGAAAAAAGGTATAAAGTTCTAATTAAAAAAATTCAAAACATATAAAGAATATATGGACAAAACTCTATAAAATATGTGTGTGTGATGGCCTAGATTGATACACTTAACGAGAGAGAGAGAGAGAGAGAGAGAGAGATCGGGAAGAAAACTTACGAAAATCAAATATTGCTCCTGATCATGTTTGTAAAAAGAAAATAACCAATTAGCTAGGAGAAAATCACTTGAGCCAAAATATTTGATTATGTACTAGTTGTTTAGCCGTCTAAAAAAGGCCATGAGGCCGTTCATGACTCCAAATCTAAGGTTTTCCAATTGGGTATTAATTCAGTACAAGCAGGCATGCTTGAAGTGGTCATTCAACAACGCCTGCGTTATGTTAGGGTGATCTATGCCTTTCAACCCTCTTGCCCCAATTAGAACGAGTGCCAAAGTTAATTTGAATTGTCCAAATGCCAATTACACTTCATGAATTGATATTAGAATTCAATTAATTTATCGCTCTTAATTACAAAATAAATAAAAAACATCGACAATCATTTTTATAGATGATTGCAAAGGAAATTTGGTAACTATATCAGCTTAAAAACACCATTAAATTAAATATGAGCTGAAGCGACACCTCCAGATCATAAATGAAATACATTTTGTTATAATTTTCACGTTATTATTTTTTTAAATCTCATATTGAATTTCGTAAAATGTATCATAAGTAGAACCTTATCACAATAAAATTGTAAAAAGTATTTTCTGAAAAAAAATATATATTATAATAATTAAAAAATAATAGAAAATGTATAAAACGAATTTAACATGTAACTAAAAAATTAGAATAAAAATATTTTCGAAAAATTTAAAATAAAGACAATAGTAATGCAATGATGACTAGTAGTTAATTATCTATATGTATAAAAGTTAATGTGCAATATTTACTAGCCATATATTTAAGAGTTTCAATTAAAACAATTCCAAAAAATATAAAGAATATACGGACAAAACTATATATATATATATATATATATATATATATATATATATATATATATATATATATATATATATATATATATATATATATATATATAATGAGCATAATTAAGGGTGGAACCCCCTAATTTTATAAATTATAAATTATAAAAAAATATATTTTATAATAACAAAAGTTTTAACAATGATTTAGCTTAGTAATTGAAGAGAGAAATGGGAGGAAATTTTTAGAGAGAGTGGAATGAGAGAGGAGGAGAAAAGAGAAGGAATTTTTTGGAAAAAGGGCAATTCTTTACCCCATTCATACTAGCCCTCTCTTTTTTTATCGGGTTATTACATTATCAATTCAACAAACATCGATCGATCTCTCGTCTCTTTAGATATTGATTTAGATTGATCTTTGCTTTTTTAACTTACAAAATTTTTTTGGTGTTTTTATCGGGAAGAAACCCATGGGATTTTCTCCCGATAATGGTTTTCTTCTTGTCTTTGAAATCGATCTCTTCTAGTCTTTTCAAAGACGGATGTAGAGATCCTTGCGATCTCTACAATCGCAATGACGATGGCTAACCCACTACCATTGTTTGTTCTTGATGAACCACAACCAAAACCAAAGGAAAAAAATTAGCAGTTTATATTACAAGAAGGTAAAGAGGACTACTTTCTCGTTAGATTGATCGAGTGAGAGCAGCTAGAAAATATTCAATCCTTTTTGAATCACCTCTCGCTCCTCCTTCAATATATAGGTTTTACGTTTTTTTGGTGTTTTTTCTTTCCTTCCAAAAAGTTTTTTACTCTTAATTTTTCTAATTTCTCTCGCAATTTTTACATTTCTTTTTTCTTTTTTTTTCCTCCTCTTTTTCTTTTGTAATTTTCTATATCCTCTCCTTTTCTATAATTTTTGGGTTGCCTTTTATAGGCAACCAAGAACCTCTTAAGTAGCTCGGGATCAATATAGTACCTACTAGATTGCCCGAGATTAATCTAGTGTATATTGGATAGCCTTGGATCAATCCGGGGTATTCTAGATTGCCACTGCCTAAAGCAATACCGAGTAGTGGTACTAGTATTTTTTGTTTGTAAAACCAAAAATGTAAACTAATGCAGTGTGTGGTTTTTTGATTTTATAGGTTGTGTGTGCAATCTGTGGTCTTGAGGTGTGAGTTAGTGAAGTAGTGGATTGGTTAGTGGACCGGGGGATTATTTATGCAAAGGAGTGAAGATTATTAAAGTTAAAGTTTAGAAATTGTAATGGTTGGTTCAAGTCTGTATGGTGTAACTGGAAACCAAATTAGTTCCAAGGAAACCAAAAAAAAAAAAAAAAAATCCCCAAAATCATTTATGGGTTAAAGTAAACAACCGGTCATCCGGAATAGTTTGGTCCTTTCATTCACCTCGAAATGTCATTTTCATCCCTATCAAATCAATTTCCAATAATTGTTGTTTTTCCGTATAATTTTTGCCCCTTAATTGTAATTTTTTAAATTAGGTTCTTTTTTCGATGTAATTTATGTACTCGAATTTTTCAATTAATTCAAACGACCTTCAATTACTATAATTACAATTCATTTTAATGTAATTACATCCCCGGATGCACAATTCCTATTTTTTTATTATTTTTATCTAAGCTTTTTTTTTTTTTTTTGGTCATGACATCCCCGATAATTTTGGCTTGTATTGTAGCCCATGTCTTTCAGCTTAAAGCAACCATCACAAAAAATAACGACCAATCTTTCATATTTTCCATTGTCACATTGCCTAGTCCAAAAAATAACGATCAATCTTCGATATTTTCACACAAAAATAACTTTAGAGACTTTTGAGAAGTATGTATATGTATTTTCTTATGAAAAATGAATAAGAAAAAAGAAATTATAGTGGTTGATAGTTTTTTTTTTTTTTTTTTTTTTTTTTTTTTTTTGCGGAAATTCAATAGTATTGTTAAGTTCTATCGACAAGTTGAATAAAAGAGCTAGTGACGACCTGTCGTTTGCTTGTTGGAATTTTTTTTTTTTTGCCTTAGAGCAAACAACATGTCGTTCAATCATGATTCATACGAAGAACCTTCTCACAATAAAACTATAAAAAGAATTGTAGAATGAACTTAAGATATAATTATTTAATGATTGTTTAGAATGGATTGAGAGAATAAGAGTTTAATTAACATCATTAATGCAAATCTTTTCGATCAATTTCATTCTTATAACTTATCTTCTATTTCAATTTATGCAATAATTCATTTATTTTGAATTATTCTTTAATGTGTGATATTAATGATTATTCAATTATTTTGTATCATTAGATTCTTTGGAGCGGGAGACTCAATCTCAACAATCTTCATTTCGTTCGATCATTTGAATGTAATATGGTGGATAATATATAGCAACATAATTTTTTAAAATCAAAATGAACTTCATTAATCAAATAAGATCAACCGACAAAGTTGAACACAAAAGCATAAGGGAATTAACATCCTAGAAAATAGGACCTAACAAAGAAATAGAATCCCAAGCTAACAAGTGGGTTACTTGATTTGTAGATTGCTTTACAAACACAATACTAAGATTGTTTAAATCCTTCGTATGAACCTACAATCCTCAACTAAAATATCAAAATAAGACCCTATAGGTTCGCACTATTAACGACATTAACGGCTAGTTAAGAATCATATTTGATGATAATGTTTAAGAGCTGCATGGTTTTGATCCAATTCGAGGGCTTCATGTAGGTCGATACATTCAGCAGCTTCTTGGCTTTAGAGTCGAAGGGTACATATTAGCATAGGCGACCACCAAATTTCCTTCTTGATTTCTTAAAACATACCACATATCATATTTGTTAGAATCCATAAAAACAACTACA